GACTCGAAGGCACATAACAACAACTGGGAAAGGTGGAAGGTCGGAGAAGGACATGAAGACGTTCAACAAGATGGATTGACACAGTGATTGTTAATAATGCGCTGGAGCATATTGACGATGATGAGGGTGGCGCAGGGTAGGGAATGCTTCGGTTTGTTGTTTATAGAGTCACTCTGAAGCATACAACAAGTAAATCACAAGCAGTGAACACCAACACAAAAATGGCCCATTATTAATACTGAATCAAAAAGGGGGGGGGGAGTTGAAATCATTAACAGGGTCAGAGTTTAAACGACCACATTCTGCGCAGTAAGGAAGCCTGGAGTCATTTTCACGTTCTACCATATCCTTCTGTTAAATTTGGCCAAGACCCTAAATTTTCTAAGACTTGTTTTTTCTTGTAAGAGTTCTTAAAAAATACCCATCTAAAATAAAAAAAATAAAAAAAAATACCCATCTACCTCGAGTCTTCCGTAAGAACCAAGCAGCTGATGAAGGTTACAATATTTCCTAAGCATTTGATAAATCGCTGCGAACCGATTGTCATTGGCTACAGATAAAAACGTTATCTCAGCCAGCTGGATTCCGGGCTGAAGACTGTCAAAGGTCGGTGACTACTGAGAGGAAGGGGAGTGGTGCTCCGTGACGTCATCACCCCGCGCCGGCCACGCGACTCTCCGGGACCAGTGTCGGCGCTGTGATGTACGCCATGGGGCCGTGGCAGCGTTTGTTGCTTTTTGGTGGTTTATCACTTCAGCGCGGTGGCAGGACCACTGCCTCACTCGGTGGAAGCCGAGCATTGATTTGTCGACGCCAGGTCCGTGATGCTGCAAGACCTGCAGTGGCGGGCGGGACGGAGATGTCGCGGCTTCGGGGCTTAGCCCCCTTCCTTGCCCACCTGGCAGCTCAGAACAGACCCTACTTGACTGGAACCCTTACGTTCCAGGCATGCTCTCTGTAAGGGGCCTGGCCGAGATAAGAGAAACATGGTTGGAATAGGAACGTTATCTTGCACGCTTCTTTTCTGATTTTGGACCATTTCTCAAATAGAGAAGGAAAACACGTGGATGATTTAAAAATAAAAGAAGCTTTTTATTTACTTTAAATTTTTAAATGTCAGCGTGTCTTGCTAGATACATTTCGGGTTAAACTATGCATCTTTATAGGTGCATCATAGTTTATAGCATCCAAAGTCGAATTGGTGGCAATGTTCAGAATTAGACTGGAAAAGAAAGTTGTTGCTAGATGCTGTTGGGTTATCTACAAGTCATAGTCTTAAAACCCTTACTTGTTTTTATTTTTACTGCATGATAATACAGATGGCTTAACGCCTTTTTTTTTTTTTTCTTTTTCCCTCTCACCCCCAATTTAAGTTATCTGGTGTTGATAGTGAGACCCTAACACAAAGAAGAACACAGATCATGTCAAGAGGACTTCCAAAGCAGAAACCAATAGAAGGTGTTAGCCAAATTATAGTGGTGGCTTCTGGAAAGGGCGGAGTTGGAAAATCTACCACAGCAGGTATTCATCAATTCAATTCATTGAAGGTAGAGTTGGAACCTCCAGCAGGTTTTTAGAGGTTATAAATCGCACAGGAGGAGATTGCCCATTTTTCTCCCATAGAGCAGCTGGTGGATTCGAATCACTTACTTTTGGGTTGGCAGTGCCACCCCTTACCCACTAGACCACCAGAACTTCCTATAGGTAGGATAGGATATTAATTTTGGTCCTCGTTAAGAACTTCTCCTAATTTGCAAGCACACAGTATTGAAATTATAGTTAATTTTTAAACATTTTAGTATTTGTGAATTTCTTAATAGCTTTTCTCCTCTTAAATATTGGGTATTGATAGTGCAATGGTTAAGCACTGGGTTCCTAAAAAAAGACAGCGCATCAGTTGTGCTTGAGAATAGTCAGCGATCCGTAAAGATTTACAACCTGACAAAACAATGGGATAAAAAAGGAATAGTGATTATCTTGTTCTTAAGTCGTTTGTTTAAATTAAATGCATTATTTTAGCCTAGTTGTTTTCCTCTGAAGTGATAATTTATTATTATTATTTTTACTTGAAAAAGTCTAGTGAGTTTAGTGTTAAATGATTTCTTTGATGTTCTTTTCCAGTCTTGATCATATAATTGCAATGAGATTGTTTACATTATTTTAGCTGTTTTTTATTTAACCATAATGCTATTTTTCTCTTTTTTAAAATTTTATTTTATTAATTTGAATGAATATTTACAGAGATTTTGGGTTTCCATTTATTCATTGTTGCACTTTTCTCCCTGCCTCCCCCTCCGTCCCCCAGTTCACTCTTCTCTTTGAAAAGTAAAAGAAAAATTCCTTCATTGGGATACAATTATAATGCAATTTTTACTCTTTGTAAATGTTGTTCTTGTTATTATATGCTTTTGATTCTCTTGTGACTCATAAGACCCTATGTACGACAGCTCTGAAGCCTACTCTCTCCTGAACCAGTCTCACTGACTCGGACACACCTTCCTTCATTGCCCTAGATACTGTTATTGGTCCATTTCATCAGGGGTCATCCTATCCTGCGCTGTCCCTCCACACTTCCAAGCATGATGTCCATGTGCCCACAGTATGTGAGATGGAGCTTCAACATCCTATCCTCCAAGGAGAAACTTGGTTTCATCATCTCTAAGACAGACTTATTTGTTTTCTTGGTGGTCCCTGGTATGTTTAAGACTCTTCTCCAGCATCATAACTCAAAGGCATTGATTCTTCTTCTGTCATTGTCCAGCTCTTTTGATGCATATAACAAGTAATTACAAAGACCATGGCCTGGATCAGGCACACCTTAATCTCTAGATTGACCTCTTTACTTCTCAGTACTTTAATTGTTGTTGTTGTTATGTGCCATTGAGTCATTCGTGACTCATAGTGACCCTATGTACAAGAGCCCTAAATGCCGTTCTATCCTGTGCCAACCTCGCTGTCTCAAACACATTCATTCCCACCACTCCACTCACAGAATCGATCTATCTCATCAAGGGTCTTCCTCTCCTGCACCGTCCCTCCACTCTCCCAAACATAATGTCCCTCTCTAAGGACCAGTCCCTCCTTGCAACATGCCCGAAGTATGTCAGACAAAGCTTCAGAATCCTTGACTCCAGGGAACATTCTGGCTTCATCCTCCCCAAGACAAACCTGTTTGTTCTCCTAGCAGTCCATGGTATATTCAATACTCTTCTCCAGCACCACAACTCAAAGGCATCAATTCTTTCTGTCATCCCTATTCACTGTCCAACTCTCCGATGCATAGCATGTAATTGCAAAGACTAGCCTGGATCAGGCGCACCTTAGTCTCTAGCCTGATGTCGTTGCTCTTCAGTACTCTTGAGAGGTCCCTCACAGCTGACTTTCCCAATGCAATTTGTCTTCTGATTTCCTGGCTGCTGTTACCAAGAGTGTTGACTGTGGAGCCAAGCAAACTAAAACTGTTAACTATCTCAATCTCTTCACCATCAATACTGATGCTGCCAATTGGCCCAGTGGTGAGAATCTTTGTTTTTTTAATATTGAGCTTCAATCTGTATTGAAGACTGCATTCCTTGACCTTCTGCAGCAAGCGCTTCAGGTCCTCCTCAGTTTCAGCAAGCAGGGTTGTGTCATAGTAAGCATTAATCTAACTTTTGAAAATGCTTGTAATTAATGTTACTGCTTTAATTTTTTTTTAAAAAAATATTAACTTAAATTTTTAAAAAATTTAATCTTTTTTTATCATTTATATCAGAGTGTGGCTAAATAATTTTTAGATAACCCTTTTTATTGATTATAGTATTTTAATATCTTTATTGCAACTGAAATGCTCTTTCAGAACTCATGGTATACCTCTCAAAAGAACTGAGCCTACCCGGCAACTGTGTTCGCATTATGTGAGATGAAATCTGGCCATCTTTGCTTCCAAGGAACATTCTGGCTATATTTCTTCCAAGACATATTTGTAATTTTTCTGGCAGTTGTGCTATACCCTGTATTTTTTTTGCCAACATTGTAATCCAAATGTGTCAATTCTTTTTCAGCCTTCCTTATTCTTTATCTAGTTTTTACATGGTCATGAGGTTATTGTTCAAGATTAATAACTAGATTCCCAAGACATTTTCAAAAGAAACTTAAAAATTTTTTTAAAAAATGTAATTATTTTTTTTTGTGTGTGTGTGTACCATCAAATCATATCCTCTCCTTCACCAGCAGTGTATCTGGTGGATTCTCACCACGTACCTCTGAGATTGCAGTACAACTTTTTGCCACTAGGCCACCAGAGCTCTCTCAAGAGAAATTTTTTATATATAAAAAATTATTCAGGATTAATAGAAGAAAGGAGAACTTCCTTCAGGCCTATTCACCAGGGACCATTATTAATTTGGAATCATCAACTCTTTAAGCTACAAAGAATAATCCAAGCCTTTCTACGAAGATGGCGCCGAAAGCAAAGAAGGAAGCCCCTGCCCCTCCGAAAACTGAAGCCAAGCCAAGCAAAGGTAGGCCAAAAAGGCAGTCCTGGAGGGCATCCACAGCAAAAAAAAGAAAAGAAAAGAAAATCTGCATCTGCATGTCACCCACCTTCCGGGGCCTAAGACTCTGAGACACCGAAGGCAGCCCAAATACCTCCGGAAGAGCACCAAATACCCCCGGAAGAGCACCCCCAGGAGAAACAAGTTTGACCACTGTGCCATCATTAAATTTCCCCTGACCACTGAGTCAGTTATGAAGAAGATAGACATTGTGGATGTCAAGGCCAACAAGCACCAAATTAAACAAGCTGTAAAGAAGAAGCTCTATGACACTGATGTGGCTAAGGTCAACACTTTCATTAGGCCTGATGGAGAAAAGAAGGCCTATGTTTGACTTGCTCCTGACTATGATGCTTTGGATGTTGCCAACAAAATTGGGATCATCTAAACTAAGTCCAGCAGGCTAATTCTAAATATAAAATTTTCTCACCATTAAAAAAAAAATCCAGTATTTTTGGTAGCTGCTGTTTTTAAAAGGCACTAATTTATAATTTTTACTTCATACTGAATTTTCATTCATTTTAGTTGGAATGGATGCTTATTAGGTTTAACCAACTTATTTTTTTTTCAGTGTTCTTTTTTAAAAACCTGTGACTTAATGATTATCTTAATTAAATTTTGTTTTAATTTTGACATAGTTCCAGTATGACAAGATAGTTTAACCTTTTATACTGTTCCTACCTTCTGAAGTTAATTACACTGTGAAATAAACAAGACCAGGTAGAAAATCTCATGAATGTCACTAGATGTCCCGTGGGTTGATAAGTGAGACTCAGTATTTTTTGAGTATAGTGGTTTATAGTTGTTCAACCAGTGACAAATCACGTAACATAGTTATTAGCTCCATTTCCCAGCCCCACAATTTTGATCTGTAAGGGATCATGTTAGAGTTGTCAGGTGTTTAGATATTTCCTATATATTAAGATATTTCAACTGAAAGTAAATGTGATCCATCCACAACATGAAAAGGCTCTATTTTTTTATCAAGCTTGGAAATAATAATACTTTCTGACCTTTGTTTCTTCTCAAAGGTAGCATAACCCTCTTGCTGATCTAAAGATGGAAAGGGAGCAATGGTGGAGAATACTTATATGTATGAAATGCATTGGCATAGGCAATTTTGGGAACATATTATATCCCCCTTACTCTTTACTCTCTTCTCTACTTTCTGTGTACAGTGGCTCAGTGTTTTGCATACTAGGGTATTTGTGAATTTGACACTTCCAATTTGTTTGCTATCAGCATTTATTTAGAATAGGCAAAATGATCATAACGATTTTTATAATTAAAAGAATGATATAGATAATTTTTCTGTAAAATATGCTTTAGAAAGTAATTAAAACTGTATATTCCACAAATATTTTTAACCTAAGTAGATTATTTAAGCAAAATTGTACCATTATAAATGGGTTATTTATAATGCTAATTTTGCTTGAAGCTTCTATTGTTTATGTTGGAATATTACTTTTTAATTCGTTTTTATTTTTTGTGTTCTCTTCAGTTCCATGTTTACATAAAAGAGGATAATGTAGAAACTTTTATACTTTGGTTATTACATTGAAAATATTAAAAATACAAAATGAATCTTAATAGAAGTTACTAAATTTAGTTATTTTTTGTTTCTTACAGTGAACCTTGCACTTGCACTAGCAGCAAATGATTCGGTAGGTGTTTATGATAATGGTTAAGCATATATTGTTATTTTTCATAAAGTCTGTTAGTAGTTGTGTAGTGCAAGTCTAATCAATCACATGTGTCAGAATACTGCCATTAATATGGTATTATATTATATATATATTATATATAATATGCCATTATATTATATGGCATATATATATTATATATATAATATGCCATTATATTTATTAATAAGGATGTTGCCTTCAAATGTTGATTCTATATTGTTAGAGTATATCTGGTAGATATCCTAACAAAGAGTTGGGTTTTCTTTTTCTTTTTTTATTATTATTTAATGAAACTTTACAGAGATTCTGGATTTCCTTCCTTCCTTCCTTCCTCCCTCCCTCCCTCCCTTCCTCCCTTCCTTCCTTCCCCTCCCTTCCTTCCTTCCTTCCTTGCACTTTTCTCCCTGCCTACCTGTCCCTTCCAGTTCGTTTTTCTCTTTGCAAAGTAAAAGAAAAATTCTTTCATTGTTATACAATCCCTCCCCCCAGTTCACTCACTATGCAGCCTTTGTTCTGGACTCATGTCATGACAATAATACCTAATCATATATACCTTTTAAACAGTTCTCTCATCTGTTTCAATGCAGTATACATAATTTATCCCATCTTTCTCAGTCTCTCCCTTAACCCCAATGTCAGTCCCATTTCACAACAGTGGCACTACGCAGTATTTGTCTTTTTGTGACTGACATATTTCGCTCTGCATAATGTCCTCCAGAACCACCTATTTTGAATAATATTGCATGAGTTCCTTGTTTTTCAGTGCAGTGTAATATTCCATTGTGTGAATTATACCACAGCTTCTCTATCCATTAGTTTGTTGATGGGCACTTAGGATGTTTTCAACTCTGCTATTGTGAACAAAGCCGTGATAAACATGGGTGTGCATATATCTGCTTGGATGGCGGTTATGGTTTCTTTGGGGTATATTCCCAGTAGTGAAATTGCTAGGTCAAATGGTATTTCTATTTACAACTTTTTGAGAAATCGCCATATTGCCTTCCATAGTGGCTGCACTATTTTACAATCCCACCTACAATGAAAAAGGTTCCAGGTTCTCCACAACCTCTCCAGCATTTGTTGCTTGCTGTTCTGTTAAATTTTGCTATTGTTACTGGTGTGAGATGAAATCTCATAGTTGTTATAATTTGTATCTCTCTTAGAGCTAGAGATTTTGAACATTTCTTCATGTGTTTGTTTATCATCTGAATGTCTTCTTTGGTGAAGTCTCTGTTCATATTCTGTGCCCATTTTTCAACTGGGTTGTTTAACTTTATCTTGTGGTGCAAGAGTTGTGTTTTTTTAAATAAAGACCATGTGTTATTCTGTTTTCTCCTGTTAAATTTATGAAGAGTTTTTCAATTAAGTTTTTAAGTGCCAATGGTTTAATTATTTTTCAAGAAAAAATATATTCTGAAGTAAAAGTATGCTCATTAAGATAAAATTAAAAGTATAACATAACCTCCATCTATTCCCTTTTTTCCAAAGGATTAATCATAGACTACAGTTTTATATATTGTCTGGCTCTTAAGATACATAAAATGTAAAGAAAAATACACTTACATATACATGTGTACATACATAGTTCTATGATGTACCTCTTCTTTTTCGAAAGATACTGCATTTTTGGTGAACGTTTAAAGAACAATTTAGGTTCTCATTTTACATTTTCTATATAGATAATTTAGTGTCATTAGTTACATTTTCTACGATGTGTCAACAGTCTGTTTAATTCCACTTTCGTTGTTTCATTTAACAGAGTGGTATTCATTTGTCTACTTTTTTCTTTTGTTATCCTTGTGCTGTAGTGGCCATATACATAGAAAATATATACCAGTTTTATAGTTTCTCCATGTACAATTTGATGACATTGATTTCATTTTTTGAGTTGTGCAAACTTTCTTATTTGCCTTTTCGAAAGTCTTTCTTGTTATGCAGTGTATTGAATTATAGATTCTAACCCCTTTGCCTATGCTTATGATCCTATACTGACTCAGGTGTCTGTTGTGTTAATGAGGCAGAATTAGAGTGGGATTGGGATATGTCTTGAGTTCACACTTGACTAGATGGGAAGACCCAAGCTGTCACCTTTAGTTTCTCTAGTGTTGTGGTCTGTAGCCAACACACACACACACACACACACATATACACACACATATGTATACACGTATGAATATATGTATACATCCCACCTGAATTTCAGAACCATCTCAGGAACAGGTTTGAGGTCTTGAACACTAATGAGTGAAGACTTAATGAGTTGTGGGAGGATGTCAAATGTATCATTCAGGAAGAGTGCAAATGGTCATTACAAAGACAGAAGAGAAAAAAAACACCCCAAAATGGATGTCAGAAGAAACTCTGAAGATTGCACTGGAGCTCAGAGACTCCAAAACACAAGGAAGAATTCAAGATACTAAAGAGCTGAACAGAAGATTCCAAAAGGCAGCACGGGATGACAAAGCAAAAATACTACAATGAAATGTGCAAGGAGCTGGAGTTGGAAAATCAAAAGGGCCGAACTCGCTCAGCATTTCTTAGCTCAAGGAACTGAAGAACAAATTCAAACCTCGAGTTGCTATAATCAAGGATGCTTTATGCAGAATATTAAATGATCCAGAATGTATTAAAAGAAGATGGAAAGAATATACTGAGTCACTGTATCAAAAGAAATTGGCAGACACCAAAGAATTTAATGAAATAACATTTGAGCAAGAGCCTATGGTGATGAAGGAAGAAGTTCAAGCTGCTTTGAAGGAAATAGCAAAAAATAAGGCCCCAGGAATAGATGGCATACCAATTGACGTATTTCAGCTAACAGATGCTGCCCTGGATGAGCTCACCAAGTTGTGCCAAGAAATCTGGAGAACAATCTCTTGACTGCAAGAGATCGGTATTTGTTCCCATTACAAAGGAGGGTGACCCAACAGAGTGTGGAAACTATAGAACAATATCATTGATTTCACATGCAAGCAAGATTCTACTGAAGATTATTCAAAAATGAGTAGAGCAGCACATCGGCAGAGAACTGCCAGAAGTCCAGGCTGAGCTTAGAAGGGGTCGTGGTACTAGGGATATTGTAGCTGAGGTTAGATGGATCTTAGCTGAAAGCAGGGAATACCAGAAGAATGTCT